AATTGGTAGGCATGAGTCTGCACCTCACTTCTTTAGGACCTTTTTTTTTTTTTAAGATTTTATTTATTTATTCATGAGAGACACAGAGAGAGGCAGAGACACAGGCAGAGGGAGAAGCAGGCTCCCTGCAGGGAGCCCGGTGTGGGACTCGATCCTGGGAATCTGGGATCAGACCCTGAGCCAAAGGCAGATGCTCAGCCGCTGAACTACCCAGGCGTCCCGACATCTATCTTTTCGATTCAAAGTTTAAATGTTCATCGTGGAAGAGTTGGGAACCACGAACACCCACCTAAGCCGGGGAGATTGCCACTATTAACATCCTGATGGATTTTCTTACAGACTGTGTGTGTGTGTGTGTGTGTGTGTGTGTGTGTGTGTGTTTAATAGACAGGGATCATTTTACGTACATAACTTGCTTCTGACTGTTGCACTAACCATTAGCTCTTGAGCAATTCCCAAGTCATTAAGTATTCTTTGAAAACACCACTTCTCAATGACCTCATAATATTCTGTAATACTGGGGTACTGGAATTCATTTTGGCAACGCCCCCTTATTGGACATTTATTATTTTGTTCTCTATTATAAATAACACTAAGCAGCAAATGTCCTCATGTGCTTCTCTATTGATTTACTGGCCAAAGGCTATGTACCTTTGAAAAGTCCTTGAGACACTAGGTCAAATGCACCTGCAGGAAGGTACAGAGAGGCTCGTGTCCCAGCCTCTGTCAACTGGGTCTTCTGGTAGACGAGGTACACTTGAGATGTGATGGGCCCCCCAGCACTCGGCAACTCCTTGACAAGGCTCAGGGTAGATGACACCCACCACCCAAGAGTTGATGTTAAAGGTTTGTCTCACTGAAGGGGGGGCTGCGTTTGTCCTTTGAGGCTTCCGGGATGAGGCCCACGCCAACGGCATGAAGATTTCCATGGCAATCATGGAATTATAGACACCAGGAATGGGCTTCCCCCATCCCACCCCAGGCAGCTAGATCTTCTTTTGAGGCTGAAGCTTTCTGAGGTTCAAGGACCAGCTGGCAGGTTAGACCCCGGGACCCCTGACACCCTACCCTGGGGCACTGTGAACTGACCATCTCCACTACCATCTTGAAACATTGAAAAACCTTGACTCTGCTCCTCGGACACTTTCTAAACCTCTGCTCCCTCTGCTGTATGATGAAGTTATGAAGATTAAATCTGATTACATTGATGACAGCTGTTAGTGTCGGTGTGGGTATTAGTAGGAGAGCGAGTGAGAGAAGACAGTTACGAACCAGATCCGGATTCGGTCTCAAGTCACAGCCCCCTACAGAAATTGGAACAGAAAAGAGAGGCATTTGGGGGTCTGGGAAGAGGATTGTTCACATTTTTTAAAAAATGCAGAACGCCTGGGTGGCTAGCAGTTGAGCATCTGCCTTCAGCCCAGGTCATGATCCCGGGGTCCCACGCTCGAGTCCTGCATCAGGCTCCCCACAGGGAGCCTGCTTCTCCCTCTGCCTATGTCTCTGCCTCTCTCTGTGTGTCTCTCATGAATAAATAAGTAAAATCTTTAAAATATATATATAGAACTAGCTTCCTTTAGAACATCTGGTACCTGTATTTTATTTGTTCTTTAATTCGTATGCCTCTCAAAGTAGTAGTGGTCCAGAGTTCATAACCACTGGTGCCACTGCAAAGCCTGTAGTACGGGTGATGTGCTGCAGTCTGCTCAGACCGGCTCTTGAGGGCCTGTTGCTACAATTTTAGAAGTTCTGCAAACCCATGGGTAAACATGGCCATTATCAAAACTTAACTTATGCAAACTTCCAATTAAATAAATTATATCCAAAACAAAGGTGCTAAGGGTTTTTTGTTTTGTTTTGTTTTTTTTGTTTTTTTGGTGCTGAGGGTTAACAAATCCCCTAGTTATTTTACTGCTCTGTGTTCTCCAGATAACTTGTGTCTCTTCTCTCCACGGTGGAAAGCTCACATGACCGTGGACTGCCAGGAGCCTCTTCTGACTCGACTTTTGGTGACATCACCCTGGTAGATCAAAAAACGAGCGTAGTGGGAATATTTACACCACTGAAATTGGCAAATGCTCCCAAGAGGGCTTTTTTTTTTTTCCTGGAAAACCAGTTAAACAGTTATCAGCACACCACTGCCTGTAATGTCAATCCCTCTCCCACTTCGCTGCACTCCCCAAAGGGAGCTCCGTTCATTGCTTTTAGCTGTTTCTTTTTGCACTTATCCCCGGATTTCTTAATTGCATGCTTTCACCGCCATGTCTAGATTTTTTTAAATCTTAGACATTGTATGTTGACTTCCCATTATGGAAGATAAGGATCTGGTTCTCTTCCAGCTACACACACTTTCCCTACCTCTGTGCTCCCGATATGTTATAGTATAACTCTTGTTTCAATAAATATTCAGGATTTACATTATTACAACTATGTAAATATTGTACATAAATCATTATCACTATGATTTACATTAGCTTTCTTTATACACCCTTGGTCCTGGAGTTAATCATGGCGTTTTTTAATTGAGCTGATTTCTCCATAGAATATTGGTTTTCCAATATTTTTTTTCTTAGTACTGGAACCTGTCTTTCAAACAAATGTTATGTGGTAACGTACGGTATAAAATAGGAAACACAGAGCTGCCAGGTTGAAAGGGGGTTCTTCCCTTGAGGGCTACCATGTACAGTCAAGTAGGTTGTGTACTGCACAACTGTAGGGGTCACCATTCACATAAGCAACAATGTGATTTAGTCATGACAATCATAATTCCCCACCCTATTGGGGAATGCATCCATTGTGTAAGGCGAGGTCCACCTGGGAGTATACATTACATCGGGATCATTCTCAGCTTTAAAAAGACCTATTCCCTTCCCAATGCAGGGCTCTGACCTCACCCCATTCTGAATAGGTTCCAGGGATGTTGCTTAACCTGTCCGTCCAGTGCATCACCCACACAGGCTGCTGCTAGCTGATGGCCACCTATTGACTGTTTCGATGCCCCTCACATGCGCCTGGGGTGGGCTGGGTGCCAAAAGCTTAATGCAGGCAGCTTTGCTCAGGGATCACTCGGATGTAGCCTTCGGGATCATATGGTGCTGTCAGAGAGTATGTGAGCTGTGGGAGCTGTCTGCCCTTGGAAGTCAGGGCTAGAGGAGGGGACTTGACCCAAAGAGCTGTGGGATTCCAAAAGCTCAGCCTTGAGGGTCACCCCTAGGCAGGAACCCCTGATTTGCCTTCAGCTGGGTAAACTTGGGCAAGTTGCTTATGCTTTCTGGGCCTCAAGTTCCTCATACCTAAATCACAGGGTGTGTGAGAGTCAGAGAAAATAATGTGTAACCTTGACAAATGCCATGGTCACATGTGGCTCAATCTGCTTAGACTCTGATTTAAAGAAAGAGTCCAACAACCCAAAAGTAATTGAAAAGATATCCCAGGGGCACCTGGGTGGCTCAGAGAGTGGTTGAGCATCTGCCTTTGGCTCAGGGCATGATCCCCGGGGTCTTGGGATCAAGTCCCACATTCGGCTCCCCGCAGGGCGCCTGCTTCTCCCTCTGCCTGTGTCTCTGCCTCTCTCTGTGTGTCTCTCATGAATAAATAAATAAAATCTAAAAAAAAATAAATAAACAGATATCCCAGTTCTAACTGCATCCCCCATAGAATGGCAAAGGGGACCCCTTCCTAACTGATGACGGTGTTCCCCAGATCTCCGTTGCCCCCATTCTGTAGTTTTCCCACGATGCACGTTGTCAGCCAAGCTCTCCTGAGTACACCTCCGATGCTGTTTTCCTCTCCCTCCTCCTCTGCCTCATGTCTCACCCTCTGTACCATTGCCATTTGCTCTTGGGTCTGTTTCTTCGCTACCCATCTCACCATTGCTGTGTCACAAAAAAAAAAAAAAAAAAATCAGATGATCTGGAAATGAGCTGCTAGAGATGCGGGCAGGAAGTGGGTGGGGAGAGGTTACTGCAGGACACAGACTCTGAAATCACCCTGGCCCCATCATGCTGGCAAAGCGTAAAGCACATGAAGCAGAGGCTTTGCAAAAATTGATTCTCTTCTTTATTCATCAGTTGAGGGACCTGGGGGGGTGTTGAGGTATGGCCTGCCCAAGATGCCTCTGATGACCTAACCACTATTCCCGTGGGCAGTGACTGGGAAAATCCTGTTTCCTCCAATACCCCAAAATCTAATATTAAAAAGGCCTGAGGACGGAAACACGGCTTCTGGCTATAATTTTCCTTCCCTTCATTAAACATGGACTTCCCTGCCCTGTGTTTCTTGTTGCGTCTTTTGTGGAATCCATTCCCTTTGAAGGATGTCTCTCAGGTCATGTACCTAGCACATAGCATATGTGCCAGGCTTGTAAGGAGCTGGATAATCAGAGACAAGAGACAGATCCCGTTCTCGGTTGCTCACAGATAGAAACAGGCCGCATTGCACCTGATGGTGCCTGTCATAGAAGGAGGCCTAGAATGCTAGGAGCACACAGAGGAGGAGATCTTACCCCGTTGAGGGGTCAGGGAAGACCTCCTGGAGGAGCTGTTATTATCTAATCTGTATGACAATAATACTACTGTGGTACACTGAGCACTCACTGTGATGATAATTTGCACACGAAGCACTTTGCTAAGTGTTAGCTCATTCAGTCTTCACCAAAGCCTGAGAGGCAGGTGTTACTCTCCTGCTTTCAGAGATCAAGAAATTGAAGCCCATTGAACCTCACTGACTTTAACAGGACCACGGAGCTAAAAGGGAGCAGAGCTGTAATTCAAACACAGGCCTCTGTGCCTCCAGAGACTATGCTTTGAGCCACAGGGCACTGTGCACAGGTGTTTAAGATGCACACTGAACACTTGGACCAGCCTAAGCAGGGATGCAAAGGTGGATACGACAGTGGTAGGTCCTCAGGGACCTTCCAGCCCAGAATAACGTCTCTTCTTCAGGGCCCCTAGGACTATCCAACTAATCCCCATTTCTCTCTCTCTCTTTCTCCTTGGCAGACGGGCAGGATTGAACCCAACTACCCCAAGGTCTGTGGTCACCAGGGCAATGTGCTGGACATCAAGTGGAACCCATTCATTGACAACATCATTGCCTCGTGCTCAGAGGACACGTCGGTGAGCAGGAGGGGGGCTCCCCAAGGAGGGCAGACCCCCCTCGGGGCTCCTCTCCCCACTTCCTCCTGGAGCCCTCCCTTCCTGAACCCCTCTCTTCCTCCCTTCTTTGCCCTTCTTCTACCAGCGTTGTTGTTGTCTTTCCAGCTAGCCCCAGGATGGGGAGGGAGTCAGGAAAAGGACTGAGAAAGTGAATCCGTGGAATATTTGGCAGATCTGGTGCCTCTAGTGTGATGTCGTTTGGAGGTGTTGATTTTGTAGGTGAGACTTAAAACACGAAGCTTAGGGAGGTGATTGAGCGCTCATCTGTGGTCTCAGAAGAAGACCTTCCTCCCTGTCCGTATTTTCCCTCCTGGGCCCGGGAGGATGCGGCTGGAACTGGGGGCAGCTGTGGAGTGCAGTGGTCAGAGCACAGGGGCTGCGTGACCAGGGAGAGGGCAGGTGGAGGGGTCGCATCCTTCCCGAGGAGCGGAGAGCGTCAGTGACCACAGTCGTCGCGGCTCTGCCTGCGAGGTGTTGGGCGACTGTCATCAACCTCGAGGGAGCAGACAGGCTGCAACTTGGAGCTCCAACGCTCTCTCTGAGCCAGAGTGTAGTTCGTCCTCGGGGTCCCTGTGTGAGAAGGCCACCGCCACCCCCCGACCGTGGCCCGGGAAGGGTCACAGGCAGGGAGTCCGCACGGGAGGGCTGCTGGCTGCACGGCCCACACACCAGGTCTCGTCGTGCCACAAATGCACAGGGCAGCCAGCTGGCAAGCAGGTGAGCAGTGACCAGCCTCGGGACAGGAAGGACACACAAGCCGGGGCTTCCGCCTCAGGTACTAACTCCCACCTGACGGAGGGCGAGGGTGCAAGGGTCACTGACGGAGCCTGGCCTGCCTGCTTCTGGCTCAGCGGCACCTCGTTCCCCGCCTGGGTGAGTCAGGTGCCTTTTGCTCCAGGGGCCCGGCTAGTAAACCAGGGATATTCGGGAAAAGCACGAGGCCCGGCACCGACCGCACTAGCCGAGCGGCCCTCTTCCAGTAGGCCCATGAGATCCCAGGACCACAGGGTGCCCGCCCCGCTCCCAGGGACTGGCCTGCCATCAGAGCTCAGCTGGGCCATCTCCCCGCCCGGGACTGAATCTCAGCAGCACCGCTGGCCAGCTGGGTGACCAGGGGCAGATTATTTACCTGGGCCTTAGTGTTGCTCCCTTTGTGCAATGGCCGTGTTGAGACATGCCTTTGGCAGTTGCTATGCGGGGGCAAGGGGGTCTGTGCCCCCCACTGTGCCTGCGGGTCTCTGCCCTGCACTGGAGCCACCAGCAGTACAAGGGCAGGGGCATACGCCGCTCACCGACGTGCCACGCAGAACGAAGTCCCTGCAGCCGCCGAGGTCAGGCCGAGGGCTGTGTGCACGGGGAGGTGAGATGCGTGTTACCAGAAGTATCGGCGGGGAGTTAGAGAAGGCTGGGCTCTGGAGAAGCTGGACTGGGTGCAGAGAAGGCTTTGGAGGAGGCCCCGGGGGAGAGGGCACGGGCCTGCAGGGAGGGTCTCAGTCCCCAGGCCGCTGTCACAAAACACCAGGCTGGGGGGGCTTGTAAACAGCAGGCATTTACTGCTCACAGTTCTGGAAGCTGAAGTCCAGGAGCAGGTGCCAGAATGGTCTGGGAGGGCCTTCCTTTTGTCGCATGCCCGCGGGGTGGCAGGGGCTGGGGTCTCTGGAGGCTCTGTGATAAGGGCACTAATCCCATTCCTGAGGGTTCCACCCTCATGACCTAGTCACTACCCAGGGGCCCTGCCTTCTAATACCATCAGCTTAGGGGGTAGGATTTCAACATATGTAGGGGACCCTGTGCACCCAGGGGATCAGGGAAGGGGAGCTCTCAGCCCAGAGGGGGGCGGTCACAGCGGGCTCCCTGGAGGAGTGTCCCCCCTCGACACACACACACCTCGAGCCACCAGCCCTGGGATGTGGCTTAGCCAAGAGGAGGGGAGCACCCAGGGGAGGACCGTGGCAGGCAGGGGTGAGAGATGAGGGAAAGGACACCAGGCTGGGGGCACAGCGAGGAGGACTGGCCCAGAGCATGAGCCAGAGAGAAGGAGATGAAGTCTTTGGTCCAGAGGGGACCTAAGCTCCTGCTCCAGCCACCAGTCCAGCTGCCCATAAGCAGCAGCTTAGACTGGTTGGTTCGCCACCTCTCCTGGGCATCAGGGCCACTGGAGCTAACAGGCCCCCAGGGCCCAGTAACCCCCCTGTAGAAGGCCCCAAGGCCCAAGGTCACACAGGGAGGCGGGGCACAGGTGGGGCACAGGCAGGGCCGGCACTCCACAGCACCCCACCAACCTTCCTAGGTTTACAGGTGAGGAAACTGAGGCCCAGGGCCACTGAGGGCTGGCCGTTGGGATCCACCACTCAGTGTGTACATCACTGCGTCTTCTCTGAGCAGGGCCTCGTGCCAGACGTGCACGAGGGCACACGTGGGGCACACGGAGGGCACGGCGGGAGGCGTCCTCCGCAGCTCCTGGGAGGGGGGCAGGTAAGGGGAAGGAGCCCGTAGCTCCACAGGCCAGGTCAGGAGGCCTGTCCGCACCCCCGGGGCCATGCAGGCTGACCTTCCTGCCTCCCTCGAAGCGCCTCGAGGGGAAGCCACTGAGACACCCTCCCTCGAGGGTGGGAGGCCCAAATGGTCAACTTACTGCACATGGGACACCCAGAACCAGGCTTAGGGGGTCAGGCAGGAGACCTAAGTGCCAGGCTCTGTGCTACTCACGGGGCTCGGGGGGAGGAGAGTGGCTTTGAAGCGGGTCTGGCCCACGTCTCCAAGCGGGGCCCTCTGCTTCTCTCTCTGGACAGTCTGGGAACACTGAAAGGAGCCCAACAGCACCCCCTGCTCCCCAGCTCCTCTCCCATATCTCCCACCCCTGAAAAACCTCCAGGGAAAGCCATGCCTATGCCCCCAGCCTCTGCCAGGTCATGAGGAGGGCCTTCAGAGTGGGACCCCAGCCCTCCAGGGCTCCAGGGGAACCTACCCAGACCCCTTCCCAATGCACTCCTGTCCTGAGGGAGCTGTAGGGCCATAACTCTCCCTGGCATCTGGTAGGATCCAGTTCTTTCCGCCGCTGGGTGATGTCACCTATTGTTGAGCGGCTGTGCTTTTTATAGCTTCTGCTGCAGCTAGGGAGGGTGGCTGGCAGCGGCAGGGAAGGGCTCCGCGGGCTTCCAGCCCTGTGCTCCTAGCCTTCCCAGAGGGCCGGCAGCTGCAGAGAAACGGAGAGGTTTCTGACATCTCAAGGAGAGGGGAAGAGGGAGGCAGGGCCCTCTCCCTGGTGGGCTGAGCTCAGCGATTTCCTCTGCTCCTTTATCCAAAGGCTGCCCTCCCACCCCACCCCCACTCCCAGAGGGGAGGGCCCTCCCCGAGGAGCCAGGAGTGGGATGGGGCAGGATGTCAGCCCTGCAGCAGCAGCCAGAAGCCACCCACCACCCTTCCCTTCTACACATGCACACACTCTAGAACCATTACCTCTTGGAGCTGGAAGAGAACAGGGTGCCCCCTTCAGAGATTGCCAGACAGTGGCCCCACTGACACACCTGGCCCCGCAGAGCAAGGGGCAGCGCAGCTCTGTCCTTAAGCAGCCAGGCTCAGGCGGCCATAGGTTAGGGTCCACCACTTTCCAGACCTGCGACCTTGAACCTTTACCTCTCTGGGCACAAGTTGCCCTCCTGTAAAACTGGAGATCGTGTTGGACTCCGCATCAGAACAAAATGAATGTACGAAGTTTCGCGTTGATTGTCTACTGCGAACCCCACGGCCCCTGGGGCAGCCAGAGAGCTGGAGTCAGAGACCCAGGGCTCTCCCCACTTCATCTCACTCTTTGCTCATTGAGCCCCCAAGTAGACCTTCTATCACTGGTTTCCAAAAAAAGACTACGCTGCATGGGAGCCTCATATCCGAGAGAGAAATTCCCGACCCCTTCCGAGCCAGATGGGTGATTTCCCGACTCCGTAACTCACCACCAGCCAGAGCGATGGGGGGCCTGCTCCCGCCAAGTCGGGGGCTCACTCACTGCTGAACCTGCCAATGGCATGACAGCAAGACTTCTGGGCTTCTAGGATTCTTCCGTTGGCTCACGCATTCAAAACTATGTGCCAGACACTGTTCCTTGCGCTGGAGGCAAAGGTCCTCAGACCTTAGGAGATCCGGTGCCCAATGGAGGGGTCGGCCAACCCAGTGGGATGGCCTGGCACGTTGTCGGTGCCCCTGGAAGGGTGATGTCTGCATATGGGCACTGGCAGGCTGTTGCCTCTTTGGGGACAGATAAGCAGGACAAACCGTGACCTCTCCAAGGTGTCAGACCAATGCAGGGGTGAAGGTAGGCGTTGGGCAGCCAGTAAGGTCAGGGCCCTCATTTGAATAGAGATTGTGAGACTGCAAAGCTCCCATTTTATTGGCCGGCTGCTCCCTCCCCAGGCACAGGGACGCTCGGCTTTGTAGTTTTATTAAACATCCTTATCAGCTCTCTTGCTTGAGCCTTGTCTGCACGGTCTGCTGTCTCCCCCATAAAACCATGAGCTGCTGAGACCAAGGATACCCTCCCCTGGCCCCGCGACTGATATGTGTGACAGAGGCAGACACTGAGCATATTTTGTTGGGTTGAATGTAACTGCCTTGAACGTGGCTCCAATCTGGGGACCTAAGAAGGGGCACAGTTGGCTTGCTAGGGGGAGCATTTTGCCATATTTCTCCACCTCTTCCTTCCAGAAATCTGGTTTGTCTGACCTATCGGGTTTCCTGTTGAAGCAACCTCTGAGCAGATCCACAGTGATCCTCCCACACCCATCCTCTCTGTGCTTTAGACAAATCCCTTGAATGCCAAGAGCTTGGAATTCCTTTTCCAGCTACCCAGGTCCACTGTGACCTCCAGCTCTTCCTCTGAGCTCCTACCACACTCGGTGCCTGGTGCCTACTGTTCGCTGTAGCCATAGATCAAGCTGTAGCCGTAGATCAAGCAGAGCCAGTCTCCTCCCCCTCCCCCACGATACGCTCGATGATGTCAAAAGTGGAGAACTTCGGGAGATTAACTAGTATTGCCTCGATGCGCAGGTGAGAAGACTGGGACAAGTGGTCATATCACATGGGGTTAAGGGAAAGTGCCTCTATCCCTTGCTGCAGGATATTTTTCATCCGGTCCCCCAAGCCCCACCTAGGACCCTACATCTCACAGTTATTGGTGAAAACAGCACCCTGGGCCTCCTGCTGCAGGCCTCAGCTCCCTGGCTCTTGGACCTAGTTCAGAGGCTGAACCTGGGCACAGGCAGAGCCGGCCCTCCCCATCCCCCCAGCTGACCCCTGGCTTCCTAGGCAGACCTGTCATCCTAACCAATCAGCTCATCTGGCTAGGAAGCCTGAGACCCTCAAGGACGTGAAGCTGAGTTTAGTTCAACCCACGCACCTCTGAATGGTGCCCATGTCTCTGTTCGTCACCTAGACCGGGAGCCTGAGCCTCAGAGCGGTTACCTGGCTTTCCCAGTCATCCTGCGAGTGAGTGGGTTTGGAGGCTGGCTGGACCCTCCCTTCCCAGCTTCCTTCGGGCCTCCACCTTCGCCTGGCATGGGACACTACCCAGGGAGGCGCCTCAGTTAGCTCCACACTCAGGAGTGAGGCTGATGGGGAAAAGGGTTTTTCCTGAGAAGCAAGCAGAGCATCCTGAGACCTTGGTGACTTAAAGGTGTGACACACGTGGCACCTCCTCTGCCACCTGCCAGCCTGCTCCACTCGGGTCAGGCTGACCCACCTACCCTGCCTGCTGTGCCCGAGCCCATGATCCCATGCACGCTGCTCGCTGTTCCTTTGTCCACCCCCTTCCCCTGCCCCCTCCCCACTCCCCCCAGCCTCTCCTTTCAAACATGGGCCCACATCCAGTCTTCTAGCCTTGCTCTTCCCAGACCCTCCCACCCTTGACCGCTCCCCAAGACTGGATCAGCGCCCCTCCAGCTCTGTTCTCATGGTTCTCTGCCCTTCTCTGCCTGCCAAGTACTATTCAAGAACTGGAGCTCAGCACAATCCCATTGACTAAAAGGAGTCTGGCTCATAGAGATGTGTGTGGAGTGAATAAGGCTGTAGTCTCTGTTTCAGAGATCTCTCTCAAAGTTCGGAGGCCACTTTCCTGCCTCAGTAAGCACTTCTGCACTGACTGCCTCAGTGTTCCCGTGTGTGAACCCTACTTGTCCGTTATCCTCAAGCTACAGTGCCAGGTGTCCAGAGACCACATCCTCGGCCTCCTTAAAAAAAAAAAAATGCTTTTGTTTGTTTGTTTGTTTGTTTTAAGATTTTATTTATTTATTCATGAGAGACACACAGAGAGGCAGAGGCACAGGCAGAGGGAGAAGCAGGCTCCATGCAGGGAGCACGATGTGGGACTCAATCCCAGGACCCCAGGATCTCAACCTCAGCCAGAGGCAGATGCTCAACACTGAGCCTCCCAGGCGACCCCCACCCCCAGCCTGTCATTCTGACCCTCAAAGTCTTATCCCTTAGATTCTGAAAGTTTCTAGAGCTTCCTCCTCCAGTGCCGACAATAAACCCCATAAAATGATACAGAGTATTTCTAAGAATCAGAAATGCAAACCCAGACGGTGAGATGGCATTTTCGACCTGTTGGGTGGGCAGAGGTCTATTTCTGAAAGTATAGTTAGAGACGTAGATAAAGAAGCACTCTCCGACTCTGTTGGCGAAAACTGGGACAGCTTTTGGGGACAGTTTTACAGTAACTATTAAAAAAATGAAACACCCGTAGGCATGTGCCCTACAGGACTATTTGCACTCAAACTTGTATTACAGGACTGTTCCTCATAGAGTGACTTGTAATAGGGACAAAAGTGGGCAGAGCCCAGGTGTCCGTTAACGGAGACTGATTAAATCCATTGTGGCACCGTCAGGCAACAGATGTCCCTCTGGCCACTTACTAAGAGAAGGTAAATCCATGTGTACTGGTGTGGAAAGATGCTCACTACCTATTACAGGAGAAGAACAAGTTGCATAAAACACATGCAACAGACTCCTTTGGGGTAGAAGAGAAAAAAGTGGGGGGTGGGGGTTTGTGGTGTGTGTGTGCATACAGGCGTGCATGCTCATGTGTGTCCAAACCAAGCATTGGTGTCCTTTCTTCAAGGGTCACCTTCCTCTGGTGCGCTGGGGACAAGAAGACTGGGTCTTAGGGGTGACCATGCAGTCATCTACACTGGTCCCTGCTCCACCCTCCCATCCTTTTCCAGATCAGACCTCATCTCTGAATGCCCTTAGGCAGGGCCCACTTAGGAAAAACCATGGGTCCTACTGGGTCCCCTCTCTGTCACCTCACCCCCCAGCCCCCACCACCCATCCAGGGCTTTTCATGGAAAGCTGGAGCAACCACAGGTGATGGCAATGTCAGAAAACTGTTTTAGACTGTCCCCTAATTATAAACTTTTTCTCGGGTCTGTTTTTTAAACCGAGAAGGGTACACTGAAAGGTGACCTCAAACCTTTGATTGAACCTGCCTTTCTCACCGTGAAGCCTCCCACGTCTACACGTGCAGCGTAGGGTCTTCCGGGGACACGCCGGGAAAGGAAACTGTCACGGGTATCGCCTTGGGGGCACCCCCAGTTCCCAGCCTTCTCCCCTGTCCCGAGGACTGCCTTTGGAGTTCCATGTTTATTCGTAGGCTTCAGAATTATTGATCGAATGGCTAATATTGCATAGTAGCATGACATATTAAATTGTTCCCCTGATGTTGGTCACTTCGAGTGTCTAAATTTTCCACCTTGCAGCGCACGCCTTCATGCATGAAGATTTTTGCTTATATTGGATTTTCCGAGTGATATTACTAGGTCAAGGAATACGACACAGATGTCTTTATGGTTCCAGCTAAGGATTGCCAGATTGCTTCCCAAAGAGCTACTCTGATTTAGAATACTACCAACACCGATCCACTCTACCAGTGCCAGTATATGATCCTGCCAGCACTGGCTCCCCCCCTCCCCTCCCCCTCCCCTCCCCCTTCCCAATCGGCTCCTTTAGAAGATCATGGCATCTCAAAGCAGTTTTTCCAGTTTTTCTCCTTACTGGCAAGGGTGGAGTTCCGATTTGCCTTAAAGGTGCCCTAAGTTGTCACAACCTGTGTTCTTTCCTCTCCGGTCAGAGCATAATCAACAGCATTCATGATGACAGCAATTATAACAAGGATTAGAATTCCTTAGGTCTTTCGAGCACTTTACAGTTTACAAACTTGGGCAACCAGCATCTCATTTTATTCTCTCAAGGAGCCAAGGCAGGGCAAAGAATTTTTTCTCCCATTTGGGGCTGAAACAGTTGCACCTAGGCAGAGTATGTTTGGCCTGAGAAATGGAAGCCCACCAGGGCGAGATGGCAGTAATCAGGAGGGTACTCACGGATTGCAGAGAAACTGTGCACTTTGTCACTCTGGGGCCCCATGGACCACACGCTCTCTGCTCCTCCGTGTGTCTCATCCTCCTCTCAGCCCATCATCTCTTTCTGCCTCTTCTTCTTTCTTTCCTTTTTTTTTTTTTTAAGATTTTATTTATTTGAGAGAGAGACCAAGTGCAGAGGGGAGAGGCAGACTCCCCACTGAGCAGAGACTCCAGGACCTGGAGATCATGACCTGAGCCCGAAGGCAGATGCTTAAGCTAAACCCACTAAGCCACCCAGGCTCTCCTCTGCTTCTTTACCAGCATCCACAAAGCTGCAAATAGCAGCTGCATCCAGGCTTTGCCTGTCCTGGTGTCGGCTCCCAACATCTGATCAGTCTCTGCCCCTTGGAGCCTCACCTCCCAGCAGAGCCTCTGGGCCTCCCAGCCTCCCAGATGGGTTTTCTTCTGCTCTCGTGTCCACCTTGGTGAAGGGCAGCATGAGAGACAGGGCAGTGTGGTACCAACAGAGCTGCTGAGGCTGACATCAGAGCTCTTTTTTTTTTTAAAGATTTTATTTATTTATTCATGAGAGACACAGAGAGAGGGGCAGAGACACAGGCAGAGGGAGAAGCAGGCTCCCTGCAAGGAGCCCGATGCGGGACTCGATCCCAGGACCCCGGGATCACGCCCTGAGCCACAGGCAGATGCTCAATGCTGAGCCACCCAGGCGCCCCAGAGATCAGAGCTCTTAAAAGGGTGTGTGAAGGGAAGCAGAGGCAGGCTTTTACTGCAGCACTTGCCCCAAGCTGCTTATAGTGTGAAGTGCACCCCGGAGCCTCCCTGAGCCTCGGTCAGGCCCGCCCGCTGCACTGGCCTGGAGGTGCAGATCCGGGGAAGCCTGGGGCCACGGGAGGGGGCCGTCAGGGGCTCCCCAGGCCCTGCCCACCCAGCCACGACCCTCCGTGCCCCCTGCAGGTGCGCATCTGGGAGATCCCGGAGGGGGGCCTGAAGCGGAACATGACAGAGGCTCTCCTGGAGCTGCACGGGCACAGCCGGCGCGTGGGGCTGGTCGAGTGGCACCCCACCACCAACAACATCCTTTTCAGTGCAGGCTATGACTACAAGGTGAGCAGCCTGGCCGCACCTGCGGCCACAGCCAGCTCAGGGCAGGGGTGGGAGGGATCTTTACCGTTAGATCCTGAGCGTGTTCACCCACATTGTCCCGTCCACCTGTCCACTCATTCATTCAATCAGTCATTCATTCACTACCCAGGCCCAGGCATCTTCTGTGCACCCTGTCATTCCTGGAGTCCACACAGGCTGCCTCTCCGGCTTCCCTGGCCCTTAAGGATTAGAAGAGAATGTCCACTCCATGCCCACACCCTCTCCCGGGGTCACTTCTTAAATCCAGATGTGGCTGCCACCCCCCTGGTAGGAGAAAGGAGCGACCAGAGTTGCTGGAGGGAAGAGAACGGGATGCCTCCAAAAGAGGTGTGCCAGCTAGGGGACCCCGGTCAGGAACATCAATCCTTCTTGCAAGGGGCAGAAACTGAGCCCAGGCCGGGGCTGGGATCTGCCGAGGGTTGGCGGATTCGTGCGACGGGGGCGTCGGTCTTTGATACAGAGTTTAATCTCCATCTTGCCTGCCAGCACACCCCGACCCTGCGTGGGGCGTCTCTCCCGGGGCCGTGGGCGCAGCCCAGGGACAGAGGCCTCATGCCAAGCCACAGGCCTGACCTGCCTCCATCACACCCACCCTCGCAGGTCCTCATCTGGAACCTGGACGTGGGTGAGCCAGTGAAGATGATAGACTGCCACTCGGATGTGATCCTCTGCATGTCCTTCAACACAGATGGCAGCCTGCTCACCACCACGTGCAAGGACAAAAAGCTTCGAGTGATCGAGCCCCGCTCTGGCCGCGTCCTGCAGGTGAAGCCCCACAGCTTTTGAGGGCAGGGAAAGGGGTCAGGATCTGGGGCATGGCTTTCCATCAGGCTCAGAGGAAAAGGCGGGGCCAGCTCCCCTTCTCCCACACACCTGGCCTGCACCTCCACCCACCAGCCCACGCCTTCTGGGTTCTTCTCGACTCACAGGGACCCTGCCTTAGTCTGGGCAGGGAGGGACCTAGGTATCCTTCTTATCCCCACGGTACCCCTCTCCCCAGATGGGATTCTTCTGGCCTGCTCTGGGGACAGAAATGGTGACACCCTTTAGCACACAAATCCCTGGGTGTTGCCCAAGCCCCATCGTGGGCACAAGAGAGGGGGCTTCGGACTGTCTGCCCAGCCACCAGCATGGGACAAGTGTGAAGGAAATGGCTCAGGGCACCAGTCCCAGGGACAGCTCCAAGTGGGGAGGTTGCTGGTGAATTTAGTTCCAGCTAGGTCTTTGAATCTCCTGGGTCTTGACTGTGAGGAAGGGATCAGATGCCATTTGGGAGTAAGAAATTGACACTTCATGAACACCCACTGCGTGCCAGCCACCCGGCTAAGTGGGATGGAAAATTCGGATGCAATGTGAGGTTTGCCTCCTACACAAGAAAGGATTGATGCTTGGCCTGGTGGTGTTTATCTTGGAAGAGTCTGATGTTACAAGAGCAGAAAGTCATCTACTACTACCATCACCGATAATAACACTCACAGTTATTCGCATCATTAGGATCCGGCAGCACTTATTCAGAGCTCACTGCGTGGTGCGCACTGTGCCCAGGGCTCTGCATTGTCACTCACTGAATCCTCCTGCCAGCCTTCTAAGGTGGGCTGCTCTTCCCGCCTCACAGGGGGGAATTGAGCCCTGGAGAGGGTTCGAGATGGAAGCTATGGGCAGAGCTAGAATTCAGACCCAACCGGCCAGCCCCCAGAGCCCATGTTGAGCAGAGGAGATGGGCAGGAGCAGAGAACCCAAGCTCCACCTCACAGACGTGACACAGGCTGAGAGCTGGGAGTCCTCGGGCTACACTTGCTGGGCAGGACTAGAAGTGACGCCAGCCAGGGTCTCTGTGCTGCTCCACCAGCCTCTGGTTTCTGACCTGATGCTAACTCATCCTGGCAAAGGACTGTGGTGTGCTAGAGGGAAAAGGAAGAGTCAGGAGCCGAGAGGCAGGGGAAAGGAGGATGGAGGATGGAGGCAGGTTAGAAGGAGCCCTGGGGTGAAGCAAGGAGTGAGCACCCCATGCCCCTGAGCCTCATCCTCATCCTCAGAGATTCCCTCCAGGAGGTACTGTGGCAACACTTAGAAGAGATGCCCTGCTGAGAGCACCTGGCACCTGGCACCTGGCACCCCTGACGTCAGCTTCCCTTTCCCGATCCCCGCCACCCGAGGGTAGGGTGGAGAGGCCTGCTTTCCTGACCCTGGGACCCCATTGCTCCACAGCACCTGAGTTAGTTTCCTCTGGGAGCTGCAAGGAATTACCACCAACAGTGACTTACAACAACCCAGAGAGCTTCTCTCACAGTTCCAGAGGCCGGAAGTCCAAAATCAAGGCTGCACTCCCTCGGGAGGCTCTGGGAGAGAACCTTCCTCGCCTCTTCCAGCTTCTGATGGCTGCTTGGTTCCCTTGCTTGTGGCCGTTATCACTCTGGTCTCTGCCTCTGGAGTCACCTCCTCTGTGTGTCCCTAGAGCCTCCCTTTCTCTTACCTCTTACAGGGATGCTCATGATGACCTTTAAGGCCCACTTGGATAATCCAGGGCAATTAAGGACCCCCCTTCACAGGTTCCAGGGTTTAAGGCATGGGCCTATCCTTGGGGTACCCCATTCAGCCCACTATACTTCCCTAGCATCCGGTGGCCCTGCCTTACTGACTCTGTCTGTCCTGCCAGGAGGCAAATTGCAAAAACCACAGAGTGAACCGAGTCGTGTTCCTGGGAAACATGAAGCGGCTTCTCACGACGGGGGTCTCCAGGTGGAACACGAGACAGATCGCCCTCTGGGACCAGGTCAGCCACAGGGAGGCCAGGTGGTGACACGGACGGGTTGTAGTTCTGGGGCTTTATTGGGGTCGGGGAGGGTAAGGTGCCGTCCTGCCTGGACGTAGGCTGATACGGCCTTGTGCCCACAGGAGGACCTGTCCATGCCCCTGATCGAGGAGGAAATTGATGGGCTGTCAGGCCTCCTGTTCCCCTTCTACGACGCTGACACCCACATGCTCTACCTGGCTGGAAAGGTAGTAGAAGATGGGGGTGGGAAGCGCTGGGGGAGCCTGTGGGAGACCCTCACCTCCATCGTGTCCCTGCTCCTGCCCTCCCCCCGAAGAAGAGCCAGGCCAGTGGTTCTGGTCTTCCCCTCGGGCTCTCGTTCTCTTCCATAAAAACCTGCCCTCGACTGACATTCATTCCTGCTGAGGTGCCAGTGACTGAAAGTTACTTCCGAGGTGCCCTGGGGCGGGGTTTACACCCGAATAAGGATCAGAGCCTGAAGTCTAGAGGACAGGGACTAATCCTGGTATTTGAGGCACCTGCCGGGTGCTCTTTGGCAAAGATGGCCTTGTTTATCAGAAACGTGTCTACACACACACACACACACACACCACCCCCACCACCCCCACCACCCCCACCTCCCCCTACCCCCCACCCCCACCCCAGTCAGCCGGCCAAGGGTCTAGAGGCCAGATCTCCACCCCTGAGGAACAGCAGCGGCTTTCTTCCGCAGGCCCCCAGGACCACCTCCCACTTTCCTTACCTCCCTCCCTCTCCCCCTGCCCCCAGGGAGATGGAAACATCCGGTACTACGAGATCAGCACTGAGAAGCCCTTCCTGAGTTACCTCATGGAGTTCCGCTCCCCTGCTCCACAGAAAGGTCTAGGTAAGGGGGGGGGGGCGGTCCAGAGGCTTCCAGGGGGGTCTAGAGGTTTCCATGGCTGTCAGGCTATAGAATGAGAGACTGGGCATTTGGCTCATGGGTCACCCCTGCCTGCCTTTACATGAAAAATTAGGCTTGAAAGCCCTGGGCTCCTGGGCCATCAGAATAGAAACAGCAGCTGCTGGACCTGAGCGGGTCACCTAGGCCTTCAGCAGTCTGTCACCCCCCCCACCGGATGGACTGCCATCCCGTTACCCCCAGACTCCCCAGCCTCTAGGCAAATCCTGCAGAGAGCCCAGGATTGATAGAGCAGAGTGAGTCAGGGCAAGGGTGAGAGCTCTGCACACCCCACATGCTACCACCACTGAAGTCTTCCAGCAAAACTTTCGTTCCTATCAACGGGCACTGGGATTGCCTATCATTCAGCAATCCCTGCTTGGGGTCAGAGTCACCCAGTTGGAAGGAGTTTCTTCCATGGGCTCCACTCCCCCTTACCTTGGAGACCAAGTCTGGCTTGTTTCCCCTGGTTATCTGACGTTATGGGTATGGCCTTAGAGCCAGCCTGCAGGTCAAGAGTGCTGGAAGGGCCCAAGAGCCTACCTCAGTGACTCATAGCAGGATGGCGGCCCAGGGCTATGCCTGAGGTCCCAAGGACCATCCCATTGACTTCAGCCATCCCGAACTCTGGCATCTCCTCCTCACTGTCACCTCTTCGTCGGGTAGGATGAAAAGCAGCCTGGACTTTAGGGGCAGACCTAGGTTTACATTCTGACTCAACTGTACACCTCACCCTTCTGAGGCTCTTTCCCCATCTGTAAAATAGGGAAAAATCAAACCGACTTTTGGATAAATCTGTTGTAAAGCTTAGCTAGAGTCCGCTGGCAGAGCACCTGGTTCTCCTGCTCTTTCACATAGTCATTCAACAAACACTGGGTGGCAGCCCCTGGACTCAGTGGTAAATAATACAGAACCAAGCTTTATCCCTGTAGGGCTCACATTCCACTAAAGGGAGACAGACAGTAAACAATAAGGAAGGAAAATATTGGAATCAAATAAGGCAATAGGGACACCTGGGTGGCTCAGCGACTGAGTGTCTGCCTTCGGCTCAGGGCGTGATCCCGGGGTTCTGGGATCGAGTCCTGCATCGGGCTCCTTGTGTGAAGCCTGCTTCTCCCTCTGCCTGTGTCTCTGTCTCTCTCTCTCTGTGTCTCTCATGAATAAATAAATAAAATCTTAAAAAAAAAAAAGCAACAGAATAGAGAGCGTCTGGGGGCTCTTTGGGACAAGGCAGTCAGGGAAGTCCTCGCTGTGGAGGTGATCTAAAAGATCTGAAAGGCAGGAAGGGGGAAGAGTAGGACCAGCAGGAGGAACAGTCAGTGCAAAGTTCCCATGGCAAGAATGAGCCTGGCGTGTTCTAGAAACAGAACAGATGTGGTGTGACTACGCATAGACTCTGTCACGTAGCAGAAGATAGGGAGAGGATTAGGACATGAATCTGGAGCTGAGGGCAGGGGCCAGATGCCATGGGATGGATTAGAAGGATATATTTGTGAGAGGTCTCCAGAGAAACAGAAATATATATGTGTGTGTGTATATATATATATATATTTATGAGGAACCGGCTCACACTATTGTGGAGACTGAGAAGTCCCATGATCTTGATCTGCGGCTTCCTGGAGACCCAGGAAAGCTGACTGTCAGCCCAAGTCTAAAGACCTGAGAACCAGAGGAGCTGATGGTGTGAATCCCAATCTTAGGGCAGAAGATGACATGAGTTGTCCTACCTCAAACAGTGAGGCAGGAAAAAAAAGGAGTGACTTCTTCCTTCCTCTGCCTTTTGTTCTGTTCAGACCCTCAACGGATTGGATGATGCTCATCCACACTGGGGAGGGCTACCTTCTTTCCTGAGCCCACTGACACAGTTAACCTTCACACAAGGGAAGGAGTTTGGGTTTTACTGGAAACCCACTGGAGGGTTTCCTTGTCTTAGGCGGTTGGGAGCTGGGACAGCGTAGTGTGATCTGAAATGTTGGTCTAAGATTGCTCTGGCTTCTGTAGGGAGAACGGAGTTTGAAAGAACAGGAGGGAGGCTGAGGGACCAGTCTGGAGGCCACTGTGGGCTTCTAGCCAAAAAAGGACGGTAACAGAAGAAATGGCAGGAAGATGGCGAAATGAGTCCAGGTGTTGAGGAAGAGGGAGGAACCAAGAAGAGCTGTTTCTCCTCTTCCCCTCACCTGTGGCCACTGTGGAGCATCTGCCATGAGCCAGGCACTTTTCATAGGTTCAGAGTGGCTAAGTCACTCACCCCAAGCAGGTCACATAGATCCTAAGTGGCAGAGCCAGAATTCAAAACCAGGTCTGCTGGCTCTAAATCCCACTTGGGTATCACTACAGTACTTCCCTCCAGCTCCTAGAATTTCTTTATCTGGAAGAGCAGCCTTCCACTCCAGTCAAGGAGAGCTGGAACTTTAACTCAGATCCATATCCTGGAAAAAAAAAAAAAACAAAAAACAAAAAAACTAACATTATCTGTGCTCACGATGATGCCAGGCAGTCAACGAGCACCTTCTCGCTCAGTGCCCTGACCAACCATCTCTTGTGAAGGGTCATGCTGTCTGCCTCTAACCATCCGGGGAAGCTGAAGCTTAGAAAGGCAGTGATTTGCCCCAGATGTCCCAGCCAGAAGGAGGGGCAGAGTCAGACTCAGACTCAGAAGCAGGTGTGTCTGACCCCAAAGTTTGCATTCCTAACCCTACCCCACACGGTTTCCTCAATAGGGGCTTAGTAGACAACACTATTAGAAACACGGTAGCTAGGGCATGCGTGTGGGTAGTGCATGCACGCGCGCCCTGCCAGGACCAGATATATGGCTGAACGGCAATCTCAGGCTCCGGGGTGCATGGAGAAACGTTTCTCTCTCCTTCATCTTCTCTGAGAACCAGAAACACAGAGGGTTAGGGAAGCTAGTTTAGAGAGTGAAAGACTCAGTGGCCCTGCCCCAACCATACTCTGTGACCTGAGGCAAGCCCCTTCCCCTAAACCAGCAGGAGTCTCATCCCTCAAAAGAATGGAAGAGACTCAAATATTTCAATAGCCCCGTTACAAAAGGCCCCAGTTCTAAAGCTTGCACTTGGTGAAGCGGGTCTGGCCCAAGGGGTTTCTCTGAGCCGCTGCTCCCCAGAGATGGAGCCTAACTTAAGAAGCCCCTGCGATGCCCTGTGCATAGATCATTGCCTCCTAAGTGCTCAAGGACATGCTTGGCCAAGGACATCGGGGAGGAGGGGCGCTGACGGGGTGCACCCAGGACCCCATGGAGCTGCGTGTGCCTGTCCACAGGGGTCATGCCCAAGCATGGGCTGGACGTGTCGGCCTGCGAGGTGTTCCGCTTCTATAAGCTGGTGACTCTCAAGGGCCTGATCGAGCCCATCTCCATGATCGTGCCCCGGAGGGTGAGTGGGGTTGCACTGGGCTCCAAAGGGACCCCCCGTATTGAATCTTAGGGGGCTCACCACAGACTGTAAGCCGGAGGAGCCCAGAAGAAGAAGGTCCTGTGGACTGGGGCCTTCAGGCCCAATTTGGGTGTGGGGAGGGGATTGTGAAGATGGGGGCCACTCTGGGGGAGGACAGTCTGGCTTGCTGATGAATGCAGGGTGGGGATCCCACGCGGGAGATGCCTGAGTGCTCAGGCTTAGAGACAGGACAGCGGGAGCACGGTGGGAGGCCAGCAAGGAGAGGCCGGTGAGAGCAGGGGTCGCCTCAGTGACCCCCATCTGTCCACTCCTCTGCTCCCCCCACTGCAGTCGGATTCCTACCAGGAAGACATCTACCCCATGACACCGGGCACGGAGCCAGCTCTGACCCCTGATGAATGGCTGGGGGGCATGAACCGAGGTACCGCGGGGGTGGGCTCCCCAGAAGAGGCTTCGAGACCGCAGCTTTTGCCTTCACTCTGGTTCGCCCATTGCCCCTTGCCTGATGTCCCCCCCCCCCACTCAGCCAGCTGTCAAGCGTGGCGTGAATGAAAGATGCCGCCACTTGACACGCCACCAGACCGTCCGCGTGAACGTTTCCCTTGCCTTTCCTAGATCCCGTGCTGATGTCTTTGAAGGAAGGCTACAAGAAGTCCTCAAAAATGGTATTTAAGGCTCCCATCAAAGAAAAGAAGAGCGTTGTGGTCAATGGAATAGATTTATTAGAAAACGTCCCACCCAGGACAGAGAACGAGGTAAGGAATATAAGTTATTACCTCCATGGGTCCTGGAAGAGCGAGACCTTCACATTTCAATTATGGGCTTCGGGCCTGTAAGCCGGCTCCATCTGGGGCATTTTTCTTTCTGTGACAAATACCCTAAGTAGCCTGCCATTGGCTTCCCTTGTCTCTGACCCCAATAAATAGGGGCTGGGATGCGATAGCGAGATCGACCCCTCCCCCGTGGCACTCACTGGCCCCCACAGTTCCGTGCCCCATCTCCGAATGTGCCTGTCGTTTGCTGCTACAGAAGTTATAAATTCCCGGCTAGCCAGAGGAAAGCCTGGCCTGCTGCCTTCCTCCCTGGTGTTGTGACAGCCACGGGGTCTGACAGTTTGGGGGGAACAGGCTGTTTCCGAAAGTGCTTTGCACCATTTAGAATGGGAGCAGCTCATTCAGGGGCAACCATAGCTGGATCATATCCAGGCCCCCCGGAGGCTTCCCCTTCCAACTGTACCCCGAGGCCCTGGTGCCAATACCAGGGGCTGAGATTCGGCTCACCCAGGGTTCACAGATGCCTGCCCTGTGCCAGGCTGGATGCAGCAGCACTAGAGAGGGACCCACCCGCATCTGAATCCTGTCTCTGCCATTTCCCGGCAATGCCCAGGCAAGCTTCCTGATCTTTCTCATGGTAAAGTGGGGATAGGAGATAACACTTGGGAATAACACAAGGTATTTTCTGAGGATCCAGCACCCTTCCTGGCCCATAGGAAGTGCTCAGTGAGGCTCACTGTATTAGTTATCTATTACGGTGTAAAACATCTCCCCAAACTTAGCGACTTAAACCCCCAAACATTTATATCTCATAGTGTCTCAGAATGGATGCCCATGGTTCAGTTTTTCATGAGACCTTGTAGTTAAACTGTCTGCTGGGCTGCAGCCACATCTGAAGGCTCACCCAGGGGAAGATTTGCTTCCAAATTTGCTTACACTGTGGTTGCTGGAAGGACTCCTTTCCTCACAGGTTATTGGACTGAGGTCTCAGTTACTCATGGACTATCGGCCAGAGGCCTTCCACAGGTCCTTCTTACCCTATGGACCTCTCCATAGGGCAGCTCCCAACACGGCAGCTGGCACCACTCAGAGGGAGCAAGAGAAGGTGTCTGGGATGGAAGTCACAGTCTTTTTGTAACCTAACCTTGGAAATGACATCTCATCAGTTCTGCCACAGTGTATTTATTTGAAGCAAGTTACTAGGTCCAGTTCACCTGGAGGGGAGGGAATAACATAGGGGCCACCTTAAAGATTTCTTGTCACACCAACTTAGCCTTTTCACTGTCAGTCCTAAAAAGAAGACTATTCCTGACCTCTGGGACCTCCCAGTCTTAAAGGGAAATTTGAATGGTAAACTGACCATAGCTATAAGATATATTTAGTACCATTATAGAGGAATGTTCAGATGTCGTGGATTGGGTGGGATCAGGGAATAAAAGAGATTTGCTTCAAAATAATCCCTGACAGAGGTGGCGTAGGTGAAGTGAGGAGGAGTACAGCTAAAGGCAAGAATGGTCATGTTATTTCTTTAAGCTGGTTGATGAGTACTTGAAGGTTCATAGTGCTAATCTTTCTACTTTTGTATATATTTGGCCTTTCCCATTTAAAAAAAAAAAAAAGCTTTTGTTAAAAGCACCTTGAGAAAGTAGAAGGCACCTGAGTTGTTGGGATCACCCATGTGCACCATATAAAGAGCCTGAGCTCAGTTCTAGCACCCAGTGTGGGGGAGGCAGGGTTGAGCAGTAGTGAAATCAAGTAACATTTAATTACAACTTGTTAATATGAACCAACTGAAGACTCAGAGGGAAATTTTCAAGGGTCTCTGAGCAGGCAACACAATCTGTCTGCACCATAAAACTTATGCACCTGTCTTATTGCAAAGAAACTCACTCAGAGCCTATTGACTCTGGGTTTACCCACAATTTTAACCATTGCCCGATTGGGAGCAACCAATTAGAAATTGGGCTATAAATGGTGAACATGGGATGCCTGGGTGGCTCAGTGGCTGAACGTCGGCCTTTGGCTCAGGGCATGATCCTGGAGTCCTGGGATCAAATCCCGCATCCGGCTCCATGAGGAGTCTGCTTCTGCCTCTGCCTCTCTCTCTGTGTCTCTAAGGAATTGATAAATAAATAAATAAATAAATAAATAAATAAATAAATAAATGGTGGACACATTGGTCTAAATGTGAAGAGAAACTGGCAGCTTGGCACAAGAGAAGAGACTTCCACAACCCTGAATTTTACTAAAACTCAAACTCAGTCCATTATACACTTAATATGAGTGAAATTTATAGTATGTGAATTACACCTCCACAAAGCTGCTTTTTTGTTGTTGTTGTTGTTGTTTTGTTTGCTTGTTTTTAACAAAAGCTGACCAAAAGATCATGCAAAGGAATTTCAAGAACCTGGAAGCCACAGGAGTGCGTGGAATCATTTAGTGCAGGGGCAAATAGCACATTATCCCACCAAAAAGGTGTAACCAGTCCTGATTTGTTGGTTAAAAAAAAAAAAGTTAAAGAGAGGATAATAAAAATGATAGAGACAGTCTTTAAGCCATTTATTGTCATTTAACCCATTAGGTAAATAGTACTCGCTTTGGCAGCATATACACTAATACATTTAAATAAATAAATGAATAAATAAAGAGCATGTGGGTGGCTCAGTCAGCTGAGTATCTGCCTTCATTCAGTTCAGGTCAGGGTCCCAGAGTCCTAGGATCGAGCCCCACATTGGGCTCACTGCTCAGTGGGCAGTCTGCTTCTCACTCTCCCTCCGCCCCTCCCCATGCTCGGGCTTCCTCCCCCTCTCTCAAATAAATAAAATAAAATAAGACAAGACAAGATAAAATCAATCAATCCTATTTTGATGCAGGACCAAGACTTTTCTTTGAGGAGATTCCTGGTTGAGAATCTGCTGTGTCCTTCACGAATAATTCATCTTTTCGCTGCAAATCGCAGTTTCCGTTTCTTTGAGGTAGAACAGGAACTTCAATCTGAAAACAAACTTTGAGCATGGAGCCTGCTTCTCCCTCTGCCTGTGTCTCTGCCTCTCTCTCTCACTGTGTGCCTATCATAAAAAAAAAAAAGTGAAAACAAACTTCGAGTGTTTTCAGAGTTTTCCCCAGCTTTTTTCTCATTTAAGACAGGCGTATTAAAAAAAAAAAAAAAAAGACAGGTGTATTAAAAAAAAAAAAAAAAAAGGCGTATTGAGGTATAATTTCCCTGTGGTAAAATTCAACCTTTGGAGTGTCCAGTTCCATGAGTTTTGACAAACCCAAAGCAGCCATATCACCACTATGGGACAATCAAGATATAACACATTCCCAATCTTTTATGTATATACTCAGGGGCAGCGTGGTTAGCATCACCTTTACCTGATGCAGTCACCTTAGTTTTCATGGGAACAGCACCTCTCTTTTCAAACTATTTTATCAATGTCTCGCCTGTATCATACAATTACAAGAACAAATGCAGCTCACACACACACGCGTGTGTCAGGAACCTTGTGGCCAGGTCTGCACGTGGCTCTCGGGGCTCAGTGTCTTGCGGGCACCTGCAGTCTGCTTTCTGGTTAATCCAGGTTGCTCTGTAAGGGAAGGGCTGCCACATACCTGCCCTTGCCCCTGAGCACCGCAGACCTTGGCCTGGGATACTCACCTGTCAGCAGAAAAGCTGGCTTCCACTCCGTACCCTGGGCTTCCTTAAGAAAAACCAAGATACTGGGGCGCCTGGGTGGCTCAGCGGTTGAGCATCTGCCTTTGGGTCAGGGCGTGATCCTGGGGTCCTGGGATCGAGTCCCGTATCAGGTTCCCTGCATGGAGCCTGCTTCTCCCTCTGCCTGTGTCTCTGCCTCTCTCTCTCATGAATAAACAAATAATCTTTAGGGGATCCCTGGGTGGCTCAGCAGTTTGGCACCTGCCTTTGGTCCAGGGTGTGGTCCTGGGATCTGGGATCGAGTCCCACATCGGGCTCCCAGCATGGAGCCTGCTTCTCCCTCTACCTGTGTCTCTGCCTCTCTGTCTCTCTCTATGTCTATCGTGAATAAATAAATAAAATCTTTAAAAAAAAACCAAAACAAATAAATAAAATCTAGAAAGAAAGAAAGAAAGAAAGAAAGAAAGAAAGAAAGAAAGAAAGAAAGAAAGAAACTGAACATTTTAGAAAGGTTCCCATTCCAAATGGTAAATGAGAGCATTGTGTCTGCACCCCTAAAAGGGTGATCTTGGGGTATTTAGGGACGGAGGCGGTGTGGACTCCTCCTGCCTCCCAGGGCAAGTAGGAGCCGTGAGCTGGGTCTGCAGAAGGGCCCGCGGCGGGAACAGGAGCCTCTGGGGACACTAAAGCGGAGGCAGGGAAAAGGAGAAAAAATAAGTGGGAAATATCAGAAAGGGAGACAGAACATGGAAGACTCCTAACTCTGGGAAATGAACTAGGGGTGGTGGAAGGGGAGGAGGGCGGGGAGTGGGGGTGACTGGGTGGAGGGCACTGAGGGGGGCAGCGCACACCTTCATGCATGAAGATATTTGCTTATATTGGATTTTCAGAGTGATATTACTAGATCAAGGAATACGGGATGAGCACTGGGTGTTATTCTGTATGTTGGCAAATTGAACACCAATAAAAAATAAATTTATCAAAAAAAAATAAGAACTAAAAAAAGACATAAAAAGCATCAATGTTTCTGAAAGTCAAAAAATAATTAAACAAAGCGGAGGCAGGGGGAGGCCGCTCCGGGGACTGGGGGGGCGGTCAGGGGTGCGCAGGGGCGACGTCTCACCTGCTCTCCATCCTCCCCAGCTCCTCCGAATGTTCTTCCGGCAGCAGGACGAGATCCGGCGGTTGAAAGAGGAGCTGGCCCAGAAGGACATCCGCATTCGGCAGCTGCAGCTGGAGCTCAAGAACCTGCGCAACAACCCCAAGAACTGCTAGCTGGGGGCGCGGGGCCTCCGTGCCATCTCTCCGCGGTCCCTCCGCGCCCTCACTTCCCCCTCCCCGGCGCCCCCAGAGACAGAGCCGGGACTGGAGCGGGGGACACCTGGGGACCCCACCTGCCGCCTCGGGGACTGGGAGCTGGCCTTGACCTCTCGACCTCACGCTAAGAAAGTCCCCAGCCTCTCCTGGAGACCCCCCTCCGCTGAAGGCCCCCCCCTTTCCCTGCCACCCCGGAGGAGCCTCGGAGGGACAAAGACCACGGACTCCCCAGCGAGGGCCCTCAGTGGACCAGGGAGCAGAAGGGGAAGCCAGGACCCCAGCGGATGGAGACCTTGAACTCTTGCCCCTGCCAGGGGGCTGCGGGGGCATCCGGGCACTCGGGCCTGCAGGACCGCGCAGTGAGGGCTGACACAGGCCTGGGCTGCTCCCCTCCCCGCAGCGCCCCCCTTCCCTGGCAGCTCCACAAGCCTGACTCACCTGACAAGGGTTGCAAGCAGCCCAGCTCCTGTCTCTTGCCCCCTCTCTCTTGTCTTCAGGGAATTAAAAGGATTGCTCACCAAGGCCATAATGACCCCTTGCCTTCCCATGATTTTCTTCAAAGCTCTTGGAACACCCCTTCCCCCTTCTCCCCATCCCCCCTTTAATTTGTGAGGTAGGCAGGGTAGGGAATAGTGTCCCCATTTTACAAAGGACAGAACCAAGGGTTGCAATGGCAAAGTGACTTACTAAGTCACCCAGAAGGTTAACAGTTGACCCAGGACCAGGACCCAGCGTGTCCAGACTGCAGGCCAGGGCCCCTCCCACTGCATGGAGATGCCAATCCCAGGGAAGGGGGGGGCCTCCCCAGTGCCCAAGTCTCTGTGGGGAATGAGAACTGGAAGCCACTGCTACCATCTGCCCAACACCAGTAGTGCCAACGTGTCACACTGCCCAGTTGAGGCCCTTCCCACTCAGTGCCCCTGTACCCTCCTGGCCCCCATGCTCTGCTCTCACTCCCCGGGGGACTCCTTCAGATGAGGCCCCTTCCTCCTGGAAGCCGAGGCTGAGGAGGGTGGAGCCTGGCCCTGGGGAAGGCAGAGCCGGGGTCTGATGGCTTCGAGGGATGCTCTGTGCGTGTCTCTCGCCACTTCCGTCTCAGCCACTTTCAGCCTTACACTTACTTGTAGAACGACCACAGCCCCTCACTCCGTATAGCACTTTAAAGTTTACATGGTTCTTTGACCCGTAGGATCTCATTTGAGCCTCATATCTGCTCCAAGAGGTAGGGAGCACTCTCTATTTTGCAGACCAGGAAACCGGAAGTGGCCCAAGGCCACAGGACTCTTTGAGACGCCATATTTCATTTGGTCTTCTACACGTTTTCTTTTTTGTTTCCTTCATTCCCCATGACACACAGAATCTATAAACACTGCTATCAGAAAAGTCACAGTCCGGGGGTGAGATCTGGCCTGGGGGTCAAGAAATGGGTGTCCACTCCTCTGTCATTAGCTAGGATCTACTAGACGCATTATGCCCTACACCTGCTCTTTCCATGTGGCCACCCTGCAGCACATCCATCCACAGAGGCTGGGGCTCCTGAAGCCCCTCCAGGTAACCTGGGCGGGGAAAGCCCCACCCCTCAGGCTTTTCCTCCAAGAACCCTCCACCCTCTCAGCCAGCTAACGTGGGGCCTCATGGCCCTCCACCCCCTGCCGCTAGACAGTGTCAGCTCTCATCTCCTCCTCACACTTCTTGACCTTTTTTTTCTTCCCCATTGACCGTTGTGGTCTTCTGTGATTATTTATGCTGCCTCCCAAGGATAGAATTGAAATAAAATCGTTTTCAACTTACCAAACCTGGGCATGACCATCTCATTTAACCCCGGTGACTGTTGCTCTTGGTCACCACGGTATCCTGATGGTCAACTTCCCAGACACAACTCTTGCCTTTCTGGAACAACAATCCGTGTCTGTATTGATAGACATAATTTCACACTCTGTTCATCGACGGCGAGGCTTCTGAACCAGCACAACTGACATTTGGGGCCAGATAATTCTTTGCTGTGAGGACTGTCCTGTCCTCTGCCGATCAGATGCCATAGCAACCCCTACCCAGTTGTGATAAATAAAAATGTCTCCAGGTATAACTCAGTGTCCCCTAGGATGTGAAAACTGCCCCCAGTGAGAACCCCTGTTCTTCAGGGGTTCAGTAAGCATCTGCTCTGTATCCAGCCCTGGCGTGGGTCTGGGGGACACCAGTGTCTTACGCTGGAGTGATGCTTTGCTGTTTCCACATACTTGACTCTTTTGATCTTTAGAGCAGCGCTAAATGCTATGTGTTAATATTATTTCCATTTTCAAGGAGAGCAGTCAGATCCCGAGCAATGACATGCTCAAGGTCACTTAGCTGGTGTAGTGGGGAAGACACATAAGGATGTGGATCTTCCGAGCCCAGAGCCGGAGGAGGTATATGCTCCCAGTCCCCTGGTCAGGATCAGTGCTGGGCGAGTGTGGTCTGAGAAGAGGCCTGGGGCCCATCATGAGACCAGGAATGTTGGGGAGACACTCGCTCTTACCACGCCAGGGTTGTCGTGGAACAGACTTGTCAGGCTACAAAGTGGACAGGTGTGTAGCAAGGTGGACACCACAGGAAATTCAGAATAGCCAGAGGAAAGCAAGGAGAGTCTTAGAAAAGAGGGCTGGAGAAGAAATGGCAAAGGGCTGTAGAGGAGCATTGGGCAGGACGCCGGAGATGGGAGGGGTGGTCCGAGCCCAGTTCTGCCTCTGGCTGTGTGACACTGAGTAATTCGCTGCTCCTCTCTGGACCTCACTTTCTCCTTCTATCAAATGAGGGACTAGGACAGTTTTGGGGTCTCTTCCTGGTCTAACACTGCAGTTTCCATTATGCCAGCAGTTGAGAGAAGGCACATTCAACCTTGATGAAGACATCCTCCTCCCTGGGTTCGGGGGGCGCAGGTGAATGGACAGGGAGATCTGTCTCCTGTGTGCCTCTATGCCACTGAATCCCCAAGCCTGAGCCCTTCTGGACAGCTCTTTAATCATTACTTAAATAATAGCAAATTGTCCAAGGTCAGGGTCGAATGTGATATTCCGCATGTTCCCAACTGCATTGTTGAATAACCCATCAGTTCCTCCCTGGGTTGTCTTTAGGTCCTTTAGTTCTCATATACTAGAAAATATCCCATGCCTGGTCTGTGATGCTGATCCCTCTGCCGGTTACGGCCTAGCCCACCACATCGCTTTGGTTGTTGTGACAATGTAGGAGAGCAACGCCCTCTGTGGCTCTTTGAACCCCCTTCGACTGCCACGTTCCCCACTACATGCCTGCTCCCTTCTTTTCTCCAGGTGAGGGCATCTTAGGCTAAACTCTGGATCCTTCTCTTCTATGGAGAGGTCCCTCCTGGGCATGCCTAGAACTCCTTGTCATGCACCCCAGACACCTACGTGAATTTTCAACAGAGTCCAGCACATACTGAGTACCTGAATCTACTCAGTACTGGGAGCTGGGAACCCAGAAAAGGGGAAGAACCAGGCCTGCCCTTGAGGGGATCAGCCTGGGGTCAATCTATGAGGATCATGTCACCCAGTAGGACACAGAGCCCCTGGATGCTGGAATGAGCTTCACCTTCTGCTGGGTTCAGTGCAAGGCAAGCGGTTGTTTCAGGATTTGTTGTCTCCTGGGTTCTCTTCCAGCCAGATTCCTGAGATTCCGAGATGGGCTTAGGGCATTTTTAGACTGTCTCCTGGTGCTGAGCAAAACATTCTAGGTTGCCAGTGGACCATGGGGAACATGGTTGCTTCTTCACTGTGGGAAATGACTTCATACTGTAAACACCCCCACCACAAACCCCTGCTTCCCAGCCTTACGGTTTGGAAGGGCCACACGCACTAACGAAGGGCTGCCCCGAGCAGGAGCAGACACTTACCTTGACCACGGGAAGCATCACCAGATCCCTTTCCACCCCGGCAGGTGTGTGGAGCAGGGAGGGAGAGAGGGCCCTGGGTGGGAATGTTGGCAGAAGCTCCTTGTTCTCTGTGCATGTGTGTTTGTATTTGGAAACAACCCACAGCCTGTCTTCCCTTGGAATTTGAATTCGGTCACAAACACAAATGGGTCAGCCTTACTTGGCACAGGTGAGCATCCACAGAGCCAGGTTGGGGTGGTTCTAAAAAGCTCCCGGCTCTGAGCCCCTCCCTTATACCTGGCCATCACACTGCCCGCTATTTCCCATCAGTATGTGGTCCCCTTTGGGGTAAGCATTGCCCTTGCCAGAGCCCTCTTCATATACCCATGCACCCCTGGGTGTGGGATGCTAGTGGGAGTAGGATTAACAGACCTAGTGGGGAGAACATGGGGCAGTGGGAAAGGGGCAGGCCTCTAGAGGGTGGAGGATGGTGGGGACACAGGACGGAGACCAGGGATTTCAAGGTCAGGGCAATTAAGGCAAGATTCAAAGACCAGAAGAGTTTGCTGGAAGCTTGAATCCAGCCAGCAGGTGGCAGCTGATGGCCTTCCAAGCAAGCCCATTTTTCCGGAGCTGGGTCCTTTCTGCCACCACCCACGCCACCCAAGAATCCATGACCCACCCACAGGCACCAGGACTTCACCGCACAGCGGACCACCACGGAAGAGCCAGGATCCGAAATGCCCCAAGTACAGAAGAAGGGAGGTTCCCAAGGGCTGCCTGGCCTCCCCCCAACCCGGCCCAGCTGCCTCCAGGAAGCAGCCAGAGGAGGGCGCTCACACCCCCTTCCTCCAAGGAGCTGGGAAGAGGCTGCATCTGGATTCCCCGCCCAGCCGGCGACCTGCTCTGTGACCTTGAGCTGCTTTTCCTCCCACCCCCTTCCCTGAGGGACAATGACCCGGAAGGCCTGGAGAGTCCGCCATTCCAGGAGGCCTGGGCCTGGGGAGGTGGCCCGAAGGCAGAGCTGGAAGCGGGAGGCGTAGGGAAGGGAAGGCGGGGTGGGAATGCAGGGGCCTGGGCCCCACCTCTGTGCTGGGGTCACGGCCAGGCCTAGTCCAGCCCAGGCCCTGCGGCCTCCAGGAAGTTCCTGATGAGAGCCACAGGGGCGGCCTGGGGCACAGGAGGAGGGTCCAGCCAGCAGGGTCAGGAAGCCCTAAACCCTTGCCCTGGGCTCCACTCGCTGCCCCCGGGAGCCAAGGAGGGAATGGCAGTAGGAATGGCCCCGGCCCTCCTGCTGCTGTGGGAAAGACTCAGAGGGCAGCCCTGAAGCAGGGAGCCAGGTGGGGGCTAGTGGGGGGGGAGGGCTGGGGGGTCACAAGCAGCAGTCAGGGCAGGCCTTTGGTGGTGGGGGTGGGGTGGCAGGAGGAGAGAGGGAGAGGGAGATGGGGTAAAAGGCCTAGAGAGGGAGCCATGTAAGAAGACCCCCCAGGAAGGGAACCAGAGTTGGGGTGAGAGATGAGCCACCCTCTGCCAACAGATGGGCCACTCTGCAGAGGTGGGTGCAGCGCCTCATAGGGCTCTTATTTATTTATTTATTTATTTATTTATTTATTTATTTATTTATTTTTATTTATTTTTTTGTTCATTCATTCATTCATTCATTCATTCATGAAAGATACAGAGAGAGGGGCAGAGAGAGGGAGAAGCAGGCTCCATGCAGGGAGCCCAACACAGGACTCAATCCCGGGACTCCAGGATCATGCCCTGGGCGGAAGGCAGGGACCAAACCGCTGAGCCACCCTGGTGTCCCCTCCTCGTAGGGCTCTTAAACCAGCACCACCCAGCAGGGGACCCAGGACTGCATAGCTGCACCCTGCTTAGCAAGTGTCCTTTGGATTAATTCAGTTCTTTTTCTAATATCTGCATTTTTTCCTCAATAAACAGGGTGGTTTTTTTTTTTTTTTAATAAAAGAGGAGGTATTTTTTAGTTTAAAGTTATTTTAAACACATGCAAAAGCTTAGGATTTGCCACCAACTGTTTTCTTTGGAATGAAACCTCAGGCTCTTAATGTTCAAGGGAGCTGGGGCTTTTCCTACTGTATCACCACTGCCTCTCCAGACCGGCAGAGACTGCTCACAGGAGGAGTTGGATAGGGTGAGCAGACCTAGGTCTGGCGGGGTGTAACCTCTGTTGGACACTTGACAGGTAGGGTCCTTACAGGCTCCCAGCTCCCTGCCCCCAGGATGCGCTGCTCCCATGGATGCCTGCAGAAGCTAGGGTGGCAGCGGATTTTCCCCGGGCCCTGGCTCAGCCTTCCCTGTATCCTCTGGATGCTGACTTGGCCTTTCTTGATCCTTCTAGGTCTGGTGCCACCCACTGACCTCCTCCCACTTGACCCCAAGTGCCCCTGATCCCTAATCTTGCCTGTGAAGGAGCAGGCTACACTGGCTCTCCACCCAACTCCTTCCCTGTTGGTGGCATAAACCCTATGACCTGGCATTGAGCCCTTTTGTCTTCAAGCCAAAAGTCAAAAGTCTTAGCTTTCGAGACTATTTATTGTTTCATCCATGAATTTTTGAAAATCTGTTTGGAGACCCAAAAGCTGAGAGTATTGACTATTTGTTTATTTATGCATTGTGGCTATCAGAATCCTGGTCTTCCCTGGGGCAATGAATAGGGGGGGCGGGGAGGTCCATCAAGTAGAGGCCACTTTAAGAAACAGGCTTGAGCTATGGACGCTCGAGCAAGGCAAAGGGGCCCACAGGGACACCTGAGCTGAAGACAAACAGGCTCGTTAAACAATCCACTTCAAGGGCCGCCTGGGTGGCTCAGTGGTTGAGCATCTGCCTTTGGCTCAGGCTGTGATTCCAGGGTCTGGGATCCAGTCTGCATCAGGCTCCCTGCAAGGAGTCTGCTTCTCCCTCTGCCT